ATTATATTAGATATATTTTTATCTTTGCTCATATCTTCTTGATTAGTAAGTGTGTTAAATTTTATGTCACTTTGAGTAGATATGATAAATTCTAGATATATCTCTTGTTTATAATCATATTTACTATAGGAAAAATATATTAGCATAGACCTTCATACTTTATTCTAAATTCCTGGCCTAAGATCTTGAATGAAAGAATTAGTTTTTATTTTAAATATATTTCAACATAAATTTTAACAAATTTACATATAGACTAATTAATTGTAGTATTATTATCAATTTTTAATATCAACCATGAACCAATTTGTCAAAGAAATTTATTATTATTTAATTATAAAGGTAAATAAGAAATTGTTTGTAGGTAAGTGTACTCGTAAAAAAGTAATAAATGATTTTAAATTAAGTTTTTGAAATATTGTCTTATAAGGATTGTTTCCAATTATTAAGAATTTCTTAATTTAATTGTTTGAATTTAAAGAATATGAAATTAAATTAAAATAAAGATTTTCAAATATAAAAGTAATTAAAATAGAATTAAAATTAATGCAACCTCTGATAATAAACTAATCAAGAAGAATCTAAGGCGTATGATTTTACCTTTACAATTCTTTATATTTACCTTTAAATTAATTATAATTTCAATTTTCATATGATTGCTAATTACTCATACTACATCTATTAACATCTAATGATCATGCAATGTTAATAGTCTTTTTTTTAAGTATTATCTTCAATGGTTATGTAAGATAAAAAAAAAAGAAGAGAAAACATAAAGAACTTATGAGCTGTTAATTTAATAATAATTAAAAGAGAAAAACTAAGAACGATCCACCTAATCCTAATCCTTTGTCTCGTTTTACCCTATAGATTCATTAACTATATGTAGTATGGTCGCTTACAATATAATTAATTATGGTATGTCAAAGAGTTGTTAATTTCAAACATACAAATACAACACAATAAGGTATCAAGAAAGGAAACATGAAATTATTATAAATCACAAAGATCCCATAAAATCAGGCAAAAGATTCAACATACAAGTATAACTATGAATTTAGCTAGACATAATATAGTAAAAAATTAAAATAACAATAAACCAATCCATAGTTGTTCAAAATGTAAATGCAAATTAGAGAAGTCTCCAATAGAGAAGAGATGAAGAAAGCTATTGATCCCAAGATATGCTCCCAAAGCTCTAATAGTAGTCAAGGATTGACCAACACCAAGATTGAAGATGCAAAAAAGTGAGAGGTGTAAAGAGATGTGAAAAGAGATATGAAAAATATGCCTAAGTCGCAGCCTATGAGGTTCCTTTAATAGAGTTTCAAAACCCCTTTCTTGAAGGCAAGCACGACCGTGTAAATCAATATGCACGATCATGCATATGGTCAAAGGCACTCTTGTGCTGGCTATAGGTTGTGAGAGTGTTGGCTGCTGCATAGCCCTATTTGCTAACCAATTTAGGCACAAAATGCACCCAAAATTCAACTGTGGCATTCTCATATTAATTTGCACAAAAATCATAGAAATTAACGTGAAAACTTGATAAAATAATGATCATGCATAAATATATACGCTATAAAAGCATGTCAAAGTCAAGTACAGACTTATTAGGAATCTTAATCCATATTGTAGCCTTTTCAAAAGAGTAATCACTAGGTTTAAAAAAAAGGTCTCCAATGATGAACTAAAAGTTAATGATCCAATACTAACTAGGGATTCTAAAAAAGTTCACTCCTATAATAATCATATGTTCAAACATAACTACAAAAAAAATATTCATTCAAGTCTAAAATTTCAAGGTCCTCATTCTTATCCTAGATATGCTTTAATTTGGTATCCAAATAAATTAGGCTAACACTTTTTCCTAAGAGTTTCATGATTAGAGTATTTTTTTAAAGAGCACACAAATTTTTATAGTCCTTTAAAGAAACCTTAATCTTAGAATAAAGAAGCTTACAGAAATATCAAGATCGTCTTCTTCTTAATCAAGATTCATATTAAAATCTTTTATCACAATATTTATAATATCATTATTAAAATGTGAAGTATAAGCATTCAAATTCTAACACTTATCCTTACAAGAGCACAAAACAACTTGAGAATGATCAGATATCATCTAAGAATTTTTCTTTCTTAAACAATCGTGCTTTAAATATAAACAATTCAAAACAATCTCATCCTTCTTGCAAGTCTATTTGAGACTACGATGAACCTTCATCCATCTCCTCTATTTTTTTGCCTTTTCCAAACTTCGTCTTAATAAATTGTCTTATTTTGTTGAATCTCAATATATTGATTCTGTTCTTCCATTATCCATCCCTACAAAGTTTGTAGATTTCTTAGGAGAAAATCTTTCTTACAGTTATTTCTTTAACTTGCACCTCTTATAAGATTGAAGCAGATCCTTGACAATGCATCTTTAAAAAAAGAGTTTTCTCGAAATCCTAGTAAAGCTTTCCAAAACTGAAAGAGAAAAGAGTGTAAAATTCTTTGAACATTTCTTTTAAAAATAATAATTTGTCACAAATTTAACAATTAAATTTATTAAAATAAACTAAAAATAGTTTATTTTGATAAAACATATAAAAAAAACTTATTGAAATAAACTAAAAATGACTTATGAGAGACATAAATTAATTTTTATAAATTGTTCATAAAGCCCAAAGATACTTCATTTGCAATTTGTGGTGAAACACAAAAAAAATGTATAATAGAATTTTGAATACAAATTTTTTTATTAAATTGATTAACCTCACACATGTAAAGGTAATAAAATTTATAGTATATTTAAAAATTCATAATTATTTTATTAATAAAATAATAAAGGTTTTTGATAAATGATAAATGATAAATGAAGAAAACTTATAAATTTTCAAAGTTTGGCTTATAAAACTTTACTAGTAACATTCAATTTATTAGAAGTTAGCAACTAATATTTTATTCTAATTTTATTTTATTTAATTAAAAAAATATAACTCTTTTTTGAATCATTTAATATATTTTAATTACTTATACAAGTAATTTTATCAAATAATTTTAATTTAGTTAGTTAATAATAAATTATAAGTTTTCAATCACTTCATTAGCTAATCAATAGTGGTATAAGGTTTCATTGTATTTACATGTGTATAATTATTTTATTTAATAAAAAAATTTGTTTAAACCCTTTAAACTTTGAAATATCTTACATGTATATTTGGGAAAAAAAAATTCATCAGCTATAAACTACAAATAAGTTACTTTAACCATACAATATGTTAAAGTGGTTAACATCAATAACCTATAATCAATGTGCCTATAATAATTATATAACATTTTTTATGTTTTTTTTATCATTCACTTTAAAACTTTAATATAAGAATTAAATGATAAATAGTATTATCTTTTTTTATTAAATTTATTATCTAATTTATCAATAGAGGTTGGTTTGAGTGATAAGCAGTTCGATATCGCTTAAGAAAAGTCTTGAATTTTTTTTTTATAAAAAAGTAGACAAATGGAGCTTTAAAAAATAATCAAATATAATATCTACTACTGTTAGATAGCCGGATTCAGTGGCCACAAATTTTGAAAAGTGAAACTTAACGAATTCAATAACCCAAATAGAATAATTTTTATGAAGTGTTTATCAAATATGATTTGCTCACAAAACTTAGAGATGTTAATTAATTACATAAAACCTTTCATTGATGTTGATGCTTAGTTTTTGAGAGGAAGAGTAAAGAAAAAAAAAGTTTGTGTAATAATTAAGTTTTTTTTTGTATAAATATGGTAAAATTTAAAATATATTATCAAAATTAATAAATATTTTTCTTATCTAAGATGTTTTTTTTGTCATGTCACTTTAAGTGTCAAGTCTTATAGCGGTTGACTCGTTAAAAAGAAGGCTGACACTATCTATCTCACAAGCTTGAAGCTTTCTCTTCTTTATTCTCCTCTTTATCTCTTATTTCTATTTCTTACTCAAATGTCACTCTATTGCATTTTAATATTGTTAATTACATAATTACTTTTTTCATTTTCACCTCCTTTAAACTCCCACTTTTTCTTGTCCTTTTTTTATAGCATATTTATGCATCCAAAAGTTTTAATCTTCTTTCTTACGAATTCCAAAATCTCCCCTTATTTGTTCATAAAAAACCCAACTTGCTTTCGTACAATACAAACCATGGTACAAAGCATCCTATGCAAATACATGCTGCACCAAACCGTCAACAAAAATAAGTATCGGCCTTTTTATTAATGATACTTACTTTTTTATTATTAAAAAATAAGTGTCAACTTTTATATGATTAATACACATCTTTATAGGATCGACACTTAAGGTGACGTGACAAAAAATACCCTAAACAGATAAAATGCTTATCAGATACTTTATTTTAGTAATATATTTTAATTTTTATCATATTTTGGCAAAAAACCTTAATAATTATTTTGTTTGAGAATTTTTATTTCAGTGAATAATAATGATTTATAAATATCATAATTTTATACTTTTGTATTAACCTACCTTATTTTTTTCTCTTTTTCTATTATTTTTTAAACTATTTTTTTCCTTCAAAATCTCAAATAAATTCTTACCCATAGTTTCAAGAAGTGTCTAGAAGAACTTACAAGAAAGCATGATTTTTAAGACAACCATATATATAATTATATATATACGGTGTCAAAAGAGAAACCGAAGCTCATTTACGTTTGCTACAACTATCGCATGCAAAAGCACAGATATAGCGTATCATTGTACTGCTACAACATACACAAATTCTTTTGTAGCATCTCAACTTTTTTCTGATTTCTGTAATAGCATATTATAAAGGGTGAATAGCTAGTTTTTTTTTTTTGTTTTTTTCCGTTTTTGGGCCTTGGCACTTTCTTAGCGCAAAAACTCAACAATTAACAGATAAAAGTAAGAGGAATCCTTCCTATTTAAGTGCCCCAATGCTATTAATATTGAGTTTGCCCCATAAAATTGGAAACTATGAACTTTGCAAGTTAATAAATAAAATTCTTACCAATAATTTGAGTAAAACATATGGATCCTTGAACAGGGGATCACTGGACAGTTAAAGTGAAAAACTAAAAACTGCATTGCTGCAAAAAATAAATTTAAAAGATGGATTACTTGATTACACAACACACAAAGAATGTGACGTAAATACTGATGATCCCAAAAAAAGTTTTAGTGATATATGGAAAACATATCCGGTTTTCCTCTTCATTTTTTGCATAACTTTTTAAGACACTGTCAGTTCTGTCCAGCAATTCTTGCCAGACATAATAGTATAACTTCTTTTGGTTGTGTAAAATCAGCACAATAACACAGGATTTCTGATCTTAGTCAAATGTCATTTGTTCAGCTTCATGCGTAATGGATTCAAGCAAAGGTGAAGTGTAAAAGCCGGAGATGACAGTAACATAGGATTTCTGATCTTTCAAATGCATTTATTCAGCTTCGTGCCTAATGGATTCAAACGATGGTGAAGTGTCAAATCCGGAGAGCACAATGACATAAGATTTCTGATCTTAGTCAAATGTCATTTGTTCAGCTTCATGCCTAATGGATTCAAATAGTGGTGAAGATAAATAACGCTCTCCATAACTGGGAAACACAACCTGCGCAACAACATTAGCAAATGACATAATTCAGCACATGCATTTTGACCATAAATTCAAATCATCTGCACCTCTAGGTAGAATAGAATTATCAGAAATTCACACACAATTTGGAATATCCAGAAGAGTGATGTATCTGGTTTGTATCTAAGGAAGACCCATTACAATAGTCACTCCAAGATGACATACTGCATCTCACCACAAAACATAGCATGATTGTGAATCTCTCATTAAGTACTGAAATCTAAAAGCCAAATATACCCAACTCTCACAAAAAGTCATCCCTCATCAGAAATACACTTGTCCTTTAAACGCTTCTTAGTAGTGGCATTTTCACAAGATTAATCTTCACATCCTCATCCATATTCATCAGTGCGTTAAATTAGCACGGTTATTGTTCATCCTATAGACCGTAACCTCCCCTCTCCCTTCGTGGGCTTGGCGCGGACATTCTCTAGAGTCAGCCCATTGCCCCGTGTTGAATTTAGAGGAAGAAATTTTAGAGAGAATGAGAGGCTGTTTCTTAGGCTAATATTAATTGAGTGCAACTTCCTAAAATCTAATAGCCATGAATACAAAATTCATATAAACATGAGATCATGAACATACTGTTTTATTACTTAAGTACATCAAATATCATAATTTTCAACATACTTCCTCAGGGCCAAGTGCTCTCTCACTCCTCATCACTGCCTCTCCTTTTTTCTGTTTATTCGCTGACATCGTTCATTACTGTTGTTTTCCTTTGGCAAAATTTTCAGTATGAAAGAAATATGAAAAAGGGGAAACAACTTATCTGAAGATATAAGGCAAATGTGTGTGTGTGATAAATTTCTAGAATATAATCATCTCCTTAATTCCGGTCAAATAAGTTTGTCAAAGGTTAGAAACTCACAACAATGAGTTTTCCTGCATTTTCTGGTCTCTTCCCCAAATTTATGGCAGCTGCTGCAGCGGCTCCTGACGAAATTCCCATCTGCAAAAGAAGTAATAATATAATCATCATGAAAAATAAGTAATTTTAATACTTGGACTTAGAGATGTATAGAGTTCGAATTTTACAGGAATAACTGTGTAGAAACTTCTGTAAAACCATTAAGAAGAGCCACAAATTATCATTAACATACCAACAAACCTTCTTTCAAAGCAAGCAGCTTAGCAGTTTCTATAGCTTCTTCACTTGATATCTGCAATTTACAAACCGTTTTAGTCAACAATTTTCTACTCTTGTATTAGTAGCTAGCAGTGTAAACACTACGTATGTGTAAAGAAACTTGTACTAATTGTAGAGCCTTGTCAGTCTAAGTCTGTAATAGGAAAGATTGTAAGCCTAAGATAATGCCCGCAATTAAGGCCATGATTTGTGATTATTTGCTTTTCAATACAAGGTTGGGAGGATTTTATCGCCAGCAATTCATTGGTGTTTGTCCAATTTTTTCAAGCATATCTATTTATATATTCCTACAAAATCTAAACATGTTTTAAGAATCATATATTCATAATCAATATGCCTCACTGTGAAGTGTGAACTAATAGGTGATACTTGTCCAGATATTTAATCTCAGCACATGCCAAGATCAGAGTCCAAGAAAAAGGAAAAGCAAAATTTCGACAAGAATCAGACATGATTGCCGCTCTTATCCAATGGAGAAGCGTGTAACATTTGCAAGCTGCTTCAAGAATCAGAAATGAGAAAGTACAAAAATAAAACACACGAAGAGCTGCCTTCAGTATAGAAACGTAAAAAAAATTGGTTAAAAAGTGAGTTCGTACTGCGAAAAATTGAGGCTACACTTGACTAAATATATTAAGATTTATCTGCGAAAAAACTAAATATATTAAGATTATTCCAGTAATTTTCTGCATAACAAAAAGAACAAATTATGAGGATACACTTGACTGAGAGAGACTACTTCAAATTGAAAAGAAATGGCCACTTTCTGACTTTCTGTATAAAAATTGAAAATTGAATGGCAACATAAAAAGTACCTGAATAACTTCTTCTAGGAGACTAACATCCAGTACACTCGGAATGATACCATTACCAATCCCTTGGATTAGGTGATCACCTGAACGTGTACAAATGTATAGAGTAGTCAGTAAGCAATCTCAAATTGTTGTTAAGATCTCGAACTCTTTCTAAAGCTTAAAGGACAAAATTTTCAGAATTGATGTATGCCATATGAATGAAAAGCTCATTTTAACAATTCAACTAATAACAACATTTAGCAGTTAAATTAGGAATAAAACAAATTCACAAGAAGACTGAATCAAACTTTGAACTTCCTACTCCACAATTTAACAGGATCCACTCAGATGGGACACGTCTAACTGTGCTGCCTGAATTTCAAGTATTGTTTCGAACCATTTTTGATCGAACATATATCCTTTCTTGAAAGAGACATTACACATGATCTTATGTTCTGTAATTTCTTCCAAATAAATTGCTTTGTACGTTGAGTAACGAGCATTTTTGTTGTTCTTCTAGCACAGGAATAAGTACTACTTTTGCCATTTATTTTCTAATATTAGCATTTCCTTTGTAACCGTCCCTTTCAGTTAATCTTCTATTCAAACTTTTGAACTTTTCTAGTTAATTCCTTTTTGGGGTTTAGATACTGCTTACTATTTTTCAGTGATTTTTCGAGTTAATTTTGTATTTCTTTGAAAGTTTTGAGGGAGAGGGAAGAAAAATATTTGAAGGGGGAGAAAAAAAGAGAAAAAATAGTTCATAAAATAATTAAATTAAACAGTGTTAAAATTATGATATAAAATCTGCACAAAATAGTATAAAAATTATAATAGAAAAGGTGGTTAATAAAAAAATAAAATTCATTCCTTTTTCTCCATATTTAGTTATGCAAAACTTCATTAAGTAACTTTAAATTCGTAAATTTTTGTTCTTTATGTGTTTCTACTATAAACATAAAATTATAGATTTAGGATGATTATAAAATCTCCCATCCTCATCTAGAATATCTCAAATAAGAATTATTATCAAATAAGTTTTTTTTCTTTCTAAAAATTAACTCTCAAATAAAGTTCAAAGAAAAATGTAAGACATTTTGCATAATTGGGAATATAATAACACCTAATTTATGAACACATATAGAAATAATATGTAAATATGATAATTTTTTAAAATAAAATAAAATATGGGCAAGGAAAATATATTAAAATACTTATGCTTTCTTAATTAATTTATTTTTAACATAACTGATATTTAATTTATATTAGTTTATCATAAATATTGTATCATTATTAGTCTTTTTGCCCTTGACAAAATTATTTAAAAAGTATAATGACGATCAAGTTAAATAAAAATATTATATCTAAATTATGCCAATAATTCCTTTATTATTTAAAGGAAAAACTATACATTAAAAACTTTAAAGATAACGAAATTAAGCTTTAATATTGAGATAATCTTATAATATACGTATTGAATATTTGGCATGAGTACGAACTCGTCTTCTCAACTGTATGTACAGCACAGGACTCTTCTCTATGCTCGCATCATTTCTATTGAAGTTCAACTTTTGCCCAAAAAATACGAGTTCAGGTCCTTCTGTTTGCATATGCACACAATTTCCTTCCTCCAAAATACTCACATCTACGTGTCTTCAGCTTAGTTGGCTTCTTTTAATGACCCAAGTCTCTCTCGTCTACTACACCAATCGTCCACTTCTTACATGCTACATTCACTGATTCCAGATTATAGATATTTACCAGCTAAGCTATTAAGGGTAAATTAAATTTATTCCTAGATACTAGATATGTACTTAAATTACGTTGATATCCTAATTTTTTTAAAAATGTACCCTTTTTTCTTGATAAATTATATGTTTTCCAATTTTATATATTCAACATTAATGAATGTCTTAATATTAACTGTTCTATTTCTCTAGCTCTCAATACCATTAACTATTAATCTTAACGTCTCTTAACTCCTATTCCTATGCTCTAATTTTAATTCCTACTGTTAATTTTGTGACTTCGTACTTTAACCTGCAAACTTGATAGCAATCATGCTTAAAACATACTGTCTTTGAAATCTGAAATCATAATTATGACTTTAAAATTAATTAATAGTGAAATTAGAAATTGCAGGAAAAAAAAATATGCTTATGAAACTCAATCGTAAATGCTCTGCTTCATTAATTTATGTCACGAAACGGTAAACTTCATCTCCTTGAATCAATGAGTTACATGAACACAATTTGTAATGAAAAGACAAAAAATGATGGGTGAACTGGGCATAATGGTAAAATTACCAGGCTGTCCTCCGCTGAGGACTGCACTTTCGGTTGGTTCTACACCGTACAGCTGGGCGAAGAGAGAGAGAGAAGTGAAGTTAGCTTAAAATACTATTAAGAAAGAAAGGTTGGTTTCCTCGTTCATTTATTTTAAGCCCAGAAATGATGCACGGTAAGCAATTCAACCTTGATATCCGGGTTTCTCTCCTTGAGGAATCTGCCAGCACCCGTTATTGTTCCCCCAGTTCCTATCCCTGCAACCAAAGCATCAACTTTCCCTCCCGAGTCCCTCCAAATCTCAGGGCCAGTTGTCTCATAATGAATCTATAAAGATCATCACCATTGTCAATCACAAAATTTAATACCCTCAAATATAATATAAATAATTTACATTCATAATCATCATAACAATATTAGATAAATTAATAAAATTTATTTTTAATTAAAATATTATAAGTTTTTTTTATTATATTTAACACTTAATATTTATTTTTATCCACGTAGGAACATGCCGGTGCACATGTGTGTGTGTCTATATATATATATACATGAACTGAGAATTCAACCTTTGGATTGGCAGGATTATCAATCTGGCGAAGCATAAAACTCCCGGGAGTCTTGGATACAATTTCCTCGGCCTTCCTAAGAACTGCATCTGTTCCTTTGGCAGGGTCTGTCAGATACACCTCAGCTCCAAAGGCTCCAAGTACAATTTTTCTCTCTAGACTAACAGAAGCTGGCATAGCCACTATTACTTTATAGCCCTTCAATGCTGCTACGAATGCCATTCCAATGCCTGTGTTGCCACTTGTAGCCTCAACTAGAACACTCTTTTCAACCATTAATTGTTAACAGGAAAAACAAAAGGAAACACTCAGCATATATATGGACAACATAATGAGATGTACTTGAAGAGCACGTAATGGAATGGAATATGAATAAGATTATTGTCCAGATAAAAGGCATATCTTTGACATGTAAACTTCGATGTGACGGACTAACCTTTCCAGGTTTAATGAGGCCTTTGTCCTCAGCATCTTTAATCATGCTAAATGCTGTCCTGAGTGTGAAAAAAAGATTATCATTAAAATTTCTGAAATGGAAATCATGATATATTACATCTGTCGACAACTACTCTATAGTTGGTAAATACTGTCATGCCTATCTTTGATACTGAAGCAGGGTTGCATGGACTCTAACTTAGCAGCAATTCGGGCTACACACCCCTCCACAATGTTGTTCAGATATACCATTGGGGTGTTACCTATTAACTGCACAAGAAAAATGAAATATGATAATTATCAATTTTTTGAAATATATATATATATATATATATATATATATATATATATATAGAGAGAGAGAGAGAGAGAGAGAGAGAGAGAGAGAGAGTTATAATAAAAATACTGTAAGCATGGCTGAATAGCTAAGATGGTCGGGGGGAAAGGGTTATTATGACAAAATATATTACTTCAGTGGCATCTTTCTTAATTGCACACTGTGGCTCCATGTTTCCTACTCGAGAAGGCCTGCTAGCTGAACAAAGGAGCTTCAGGTAAGAAAACAATTGAAAATGCAATGGAAGAGATATTTAAGTAGATTTTATAATTATTCACCAAGGCAAGGGGTGTGCAGAATAAGAGAATGCCTACACAGAACCCTGTCAGTCTTTCACAAAACAAAGATTTGGTTGTTGTCTTGTTGAATTCGTCATGGCTATAAAAAGGGAAGCTAAGTATTGTATTACAACCAAGGCCCACCAACATAAGAAAACACAAAAACAGTTCAATTATTGAGCATGTAAAAACAGATTACTCGACGCATGAACAGGAGGGTATTTGGGCAAACTAGAATTATCGTATGTCCATAAAACCAATCTCAAAGGGTTTCAGCAGAATTGGATAGGTTGTTCATTAAAATATATTTATTATCTTCAATTTTATGACGGATGCTGCTTCTCATATGGGCATGGGTTGGTTCAGATAAGGAGTTGTCAAGTGGCTAATAAGTGGCTACAAAATGCCTCATAGTAGTGGTAGGAGGTGTTTTACAAATCAGATCAATTAGTTGAATCACTAAAATTTAATATCGAGATATTTATATCTTACATACAAAAAAGACACAGGTATCTCTTCCCGGAAGTATATACTTAAGCATTTTCCTTTGTAAAATTATCATAACAATCTTTCTTGGCTGTATACGGAACACTGCACATGTTATATCCTTAATCGGAAAGTAGGAATGTAGAAAGCCAGGAAGCATCTAATAGATAACCCAATTCAGCAATTCCGAATTCCAAGAAGACAGATAACCCAATTCAGCAATTCCGAATTCCAAGAAGTTTTCTTATCCAAAAGAAAGGTTCCCCATTTTAATGCTTGCAACATTTCAACAAGTTACACAGAACGAGAGGGACATCATGATAAAGGAATTAAGGTTTTATTTACGAAATAGCCATACAGTGGCGCATACAATATGCAATTCCAATCTGTACTTGAAAATAATCATTTTTTTTTGTCTTGCAAGCACAGGAGGCCGTGTTACGTCCGCGCACAAGACAACACGAATCAGTACTTGAAAATATGCCCAAGGAAATTTGTGGACTGAAATAGCGTTGCAGTGTCCCACATTGTAGAAATTTGAAAAAGGAAGGAGATTTTGTGAGTATAAATTCTTAGCCAAATTAAATAGTAAAAAAATGATTACGTGGCGAAGTGAGGTTGCGGCGTTCGCGCGGCATTCGTCCAATTTAGGTCAAATCATTCTTGTTTGAATTCGCCGACCAGCGTGCGAAGGGGTAGATTTTTTTAACAAAAAAAATGGCAATGAAAACGCCAAGTGTCTCTTTCCATTTATATCTTTTTCACTGATGAGAGACGAGTGGAGGGTTTATATTTAGATTTAAGTATTGCTTTTTTGGATATTGGGGAAAATATTGGCAGAGGATTTTTATGGGTTATTTTTTCAAGAAAAAGTACTTTTTAATAATAAAATTTGAACTTCATCCGAAATAAATTAGCATTTAAGTGATATAAGAACACATTATATTATTTTAGCTAATGAATATATATTTTAAAAAAAATTGACATCATACTGTTTTGTATTAATCATTGAATATATTTAAAACTAAATTTATAATAAAGATCTTTTATCTTTATTTTATAATATCAGTATTTACAACTTTAAATTCATACATTTTCATTTGAGCGATCATATTTTTGTTTGAACAAAAAGCATTCTCGCTTAGACGAGAACACTAGTCTGAAAATATCTTTTTTATTTTTTATAATCTTGCCTGAATGAGATTTTTTTTTTTGTTTGAGCAAGACTTAGTCTACAGGGCTCTTACTCTTTCTTATGACTTCTCGTTTGAGCAAAATATGCTCTAGCCTAAGCAATAGAACAATTAGAACAATATCATCCAGTTTTTCCTAGGCGAGACTCATTTCGCTTGAGCGAGAATGCCCTACAACGAGTGGTCTAAAATAATCATCCTTGTTTGAGCGTGACCTTCCGTAGTTTTCAAAATTTTAAAGACTTTTTATTCAAAACCAAGATAAAATACCAATTAAAATAAAGATGCAATAATAAAAGGAAAATATTACAGGATTTAGGGTTTAGGGTTTACAATACAACATTCACTAAGGATGAATGATAAAATATACTCAGTTAAAATTATCGATTCATAAATTGCGGGCAAATAAATTTTTATAAAATTCTTGTCTTTAACAAATACTCCCTCCAATCCCTTTTATAAGGTCCCGGCATGACAATCATGGTTCTTAAGAAAACATATAAATGAGTTAGTTAATGTATTGAGATTTAAAAGAATAAAATATTCTTCCACTTTTACCCCTATTTAAGTAAACCCACATCAATCATGGTATATTAATTATGCTCAACTATTCTTGTAAGTATAAATGGAGCATTCACTTAATCTCTTCATCGAGCATTTATTTAATCACAATAAAAACTTTTCGCTTCTCTTGAATAATGTGTAGTTCTCACCAAATTGAACAATGTATAGTTCCCACCAAATCCAAATTTTGGGGAAAATTAATTTGAATTAGGTGCTAGATAAATTTTCATTCCCTCCAACTTTTTAAAATGAAACTTAAAATGTAAAATTTGAAAGAGTATAAATTGTTACTAAGAATCCATGTTGCTGAGTACTTGTCACACCAAATAGCTTTAGAAATTGACCTAAACCATACTCCAACACATTCAAATGAGGAAAATTCCAACCAATTGTTGGAAGAAAATTAAGGAATCGACTTGAATGTAATTTGCTCTGGAGATGTTGAAGTTGAAGCCATGAGTGAAAACTTGATTATAAATGAAAAGTGTCATTCGGTGGAAAGGGAAATAGAGTATGGTGGAGGATAATTGTTTGATTTGAATAAACCATTTCTCATAGAGGATACAGTGGAGACAGAAATAGAGGTTGAACTTGAACCAATACAAGGGTGTCTGAATGTTCATGAAACAAAGGATGCGGTGATGACAGAAACAAATGACAAAGAAGGTCAGTTAGATTTTGATTTGAATGAATTGTTCTCATTAGGAGTTGAAGCTGAAAAAGAGTTGCAACTTAGTTCAGAAGATAATGGAGTTGAACCTTTTGCTGAATTTGAAAATGAAACAGAGGAAGCGGCAGAGACAGAAATTGATGGAGCAACCGAATATGTTCCTGGTACTTCTTAGTCCTTGTGGTTCAAATAGGCCTTTTCTATTAATTGTGTTAGATAATTAACAAAAAATGACTAAACAATATTGTTTTGATGCTAAAAAATCCTATGTTAAAATGACATAGTTTCATCATTTTCTATTGATTATTTAATGAAACTAACTGAAATTGACCAAATTAACTCGATAAAAGAAATTATATGATCAAAATGCTTTATGATAAGAGCTTTAATGTTTTATTAGGATTTGTAGAGGCTTCTATTTTTATTATAAAATTATTGTTGTTTTTCTAAAAAATATAATGGTGATAATTTGTGTAGGAGATACAAGTCAGGCACCAACTGATGGAAGACACAAGAAACATAGATTCCTTACCAATGAGCAACGTTAGTTAGTATCTCGTTTGTTGATGCAACATACTCATAATGGAATTCTGGACAAAGGTACCAAATCAATGATTGCCTCATTCTATTCGATCTCTCCTAGTGTTATTAAATGCATTTGGTGTCAAATCAAGGAAACAGGGGATGCATCTCATAAAAAAAAAAAAAAACTGTAGACATAAGAGAGTTGAATTCAACCGTACTCAATTTTGTGACATTCCTTTATCTAAATAGACTACTTATCAGTCTTTAGCTTGTGCGTTGAACATAAACAAGACATCACTTATTAGACTTAAAAAAGATGGGGCCATACGATGTCACTCAAACTCCATCAAGCCATATTTAAAAGAAGAGCATAAAGTAGCTAGATTGAAGTTTTGTTTGTCTATGCTTGAAAGAGATATTATTCTATATGATCAAATTTTTAAAAGTATGCATAATATTATTCATATTGATGAGAAGTTAAATCTATGAATTATTATTTGCTTCCAGATGAAGACGAGCCACTGCATAGTTGTAACAGTAAGAATTTTATTAAAAAGGTTATGTTTTTGGTTGCCCTAGCCCGTCCTAGATTTGATGAAGAAGGGAATGAACTTTTCTCTGAAAAAGTTGGTGTCGTCCCTTTTGTGACAAAAGAATCAACAAAAGAGAAGTAGCATAAATAAAGCTGTAAGGACACTAAAAACTAAGCCTATTAATTTTGTAAACAAGGAAGTTAGCAAGAATTTTCTGATTGAGAAAGTTCTACCTGCTATCAAACAAAAGTGGCCTAGAGATGCATTGCATGAACCAATTTACATCCAACAAGATAACGCAAGGAGTCACATAGATGAGAATGATCCTAAGTTTTGTCAAGCAGGCAAAGATATGGATTTGATATTCGTTTGATGTGCCAACCCGCAAATTCTCCTGATATGAATGTACTATATCTTGTTTTTTTCAATGCCATTCAGTCACTACAATACAAGGAAGCCCTTAAGACAATAGATGAACTTATCAATGTTGTGGTGAATGCCATTGACACATTCTCTTCTATTGAATCTAATAAGATTTTTTTGACACTTCAATCATGCATGATTGAAGTCATGAAGACCAAAGGTTCCAATAACTACAAAATTTCACATATAAAAAAAATGTGATGCAACGACAAGGTCAATTGCCTACTCAATTGGGATGTTATCCTCTATTAGTGGAGGAAGTGGGTCAGTATTTGAGAGATGAGAACAATGTATGTCTATTTTAAAATCTTACATGTAAGGCAATTTTGTTTCTATTTTCTTTTAATTTGATTTGTTGTAAACTTGTCAGTTGAGTTGGTCATCATTTTGCTTTAGTATTATTGTTAAGACAAGAAAGAACCTAGCTTCAGTTATGCAAATAAACACCTTTTTTTTTACAATGAATAACTGGATTTTGTTTTTTACATGAAAATTGTTAATTTTTAGGTTTAAATGAGTTTAATCTCAGCAATTTTTATTTTTCACTTTAATCCAGCTTAGTAGTTCAAAACTTTTACTTTTAGTCTTTAATAATATGTGATGAACCAATGACCACTAGTGACTAATAGAGGTAGTTTGCAAATTTACTTTCTCTTGTTCTCATCTTGTAAAAAATAAAATGGGTATTATTAAAAGGTTTAAAGTGTGAAAGCATGTTAATTATTTTAAATAAAATAATGGACGATGCACTATGTATTGATGAAGAAGAGGAAATTTTTTGGTACAGATCCTTTAGTACCTGCATATAAGAGAATTCTTATTTCTTTAAAGTAGCAAAAGGTGTCAAACCAAATTCATTCAATCATATTATAATGTCCATAGGAAAATTGAATTTCATACAAGAGTAAGGCACATGCTCAACATATAGACTTCTGAGGACACGTTACCATCCAGATGTTTTTCAACTAGAACTATATGGTTATAATCATATTAATCTCCATAGCAAATTGAGTTTCATATATTAAAAACATAAATTTTCAATAAAACCTATCAAGATAAATTTTTAACATAACCAATTTGACTTCTTGATGTGCACATTGCTCAGGTTCCTCAGGTCTATCTTCATCATTAACAACAGGTAATTCATTCAAATCAAAGTCTGCAATTTCTTGAACAGGAACCTCATTCAAATCAAAGGCTACTACCCTATTAACATGACGTTCTGCTACTTCATCAACCTCTGCTACTTCATTAACTTCGTTAACTAGAACCTCATTCATACCAAAGTCTATAACTACATTTTCTCTTGGCATAATTCCAATGACGTCCGCAATGGAATTTTCAAAATTTGTAGATTGAACCTCCTTTTCCTCAAAAAAGTTGTTTGCATCAACCTCTTTGCTTTCTTCTAAACCATCAAATGAATCTGGAACAATCAAAGCACTTACATCTTCCTCAAAAAAGTTGTTAGCATAAATCTCTTTGCTTTCTTCTAAACCATCAAATGAATTTGGAACAATCAAAGCACTTAAATCTTCAGGACTTTCATATTGATTTTCTTCATCCATAGAAGCGTATGAATCTGGAACAATCTCTACATTTGAGTCATCAACAATCTCACCCTTCATAGATTCCATATCTTCCTCCATAGAATCTTCGAGTGAATTTTCAACAACCTCCATTGTATGAAAAGAAAGCAAATTGAGAGAAAAAGAGATAGAGAGCCTACTATTAAAATTGTTGGCAATGACAAATGGGACGTGAGTTGAAATAAGACCGGAAGTGTCTTGAAAAAGTGCAAATGTCATGAAGAAATAAAAGGGATTTAGTTGAGAATGAGTGACGTAATTAATTTTTTTGTAATAAAAATTTTGAAATTAATGAAGGATAACTCATTATGAAGGGTAAATATGAAAAAATAGTATTCGATGTTTATAAATTTTCATGAAGGGTCTTATAAAAAGGACTAAAGACATTGTCCGAAAATAGTCTTATAAATAGGATCAAAGAGAGTATTTCAAAGGACTTATAACAAATATTTAATAACTTGATATTTTTAACATATAAAATAGCCAAAGGAATAAAACATTCTATATCATTTTTCTATATTTTAATTAATTATTATACAATTTTTATTTACTTTTTATTCTTATATTCAACAAAAAGTAATTTGATTTTGATATATCAAAATATTTGTAATTTTTAGGTTTAATTATTCAATGAAATTTGATAAACATTTCTTAAGGGAGTTAAGTCACTAGAGAAATAAAAAATTATTATTTAGTTTTTAATTGGGAATTATTAACTTAGATGTATATAATTATTTTTAATTTTTTAATAAATTTAATAAAATAAATAATTTTATTATTAATAATACTTTATTTATCATATTAAGTTAGATTAATTTATTTTTTAAATTAATAAAAATATTATAGTAAATTTTTTGTTTTAATCCCTTCAAACGTTTTTTGTTGTTGTTTTAGTCTCTATTTTTTTTATAATGTTTAATTTGTAGTTCCGAATGCTGATTTGGTCCATTGAAATATTCTCACTTATCATTGTTTGATTTAACCACATTAATATTAGGGACTAACAATAAAAAAAATTATAAAAAAGTAAGACAAACAAAAAAAAAATCATTTAAAAGATTAAAATAAAAAATTCTTAAAATGTAAAGACTAAAAATATATTTAAGTTCTTTTTAATCATTTCAATCCAAAAATATATTTGTTTCTCTCACTTATTTGTTTTCTCTGTTTGACATGCTAATTTAAAATAAGTGTATTTTATAAATGTGGTTAATTTAAAATGTCTTTAACATTAACCATACAAAAGAAAAATATATATACATATATATCATATTTATGAAATATTGCACCCAAAGTAGTTGATGTTATCATTTCTCAAAATCAAGATCAACAAGATCATTCATGATGTAAAAATGTTTTGATAGTGTTACTAGACCATGACGATGATCACAAGTTATCAATACAATGATTTTAATTTTATGTTTAATATTTTGGCACGTGGTAAGTGTAGCATTTAACTAGTTTAATTAGTTTAATTTCTATGTTATTTGATGTAGATAAAGAACAATATATACATTGCTTATTCTTAGCTTTTACAAACGTGAAGCAAACATTACACTCTGTTTACAAATCATACCATAGTTTCAATATATATCATGGTTATGCTGTGTGGGAGAAAATGGAGCATCAAGCTAATTTTGAATCTAATGCATTCACGAGTTTTGTTGGTCTTGCTCAAACCGCAGGCAGTATGAGTGTTGATGGTTGCATTGTGTATGTTCGGCCTAGTTGTAGTTGTAATTGTAGTATGGGTGCTAGTGATTACATTGGATATATTTTGTCACCTCATGAAACTAAAACATATTAGCATCACAGTAACAAATGAATGATGCCAATAATTAGTTTAAAATTTAGGGGGAAAAAAAAACCAATTTCAATGACTTCAAGATAATTCAGAGCCCTACAAAACGTGCAGGGTCAAGAACACCAGCTTAGCTTAAATTTTAAAGAAACTGCCAATTTTATTGGGACTAAAAGTCATTTGCTAAAATAATTTCGAGGCAAAGAAATTATTGATGTGAGTAGAGCTTTTTTTACAACAAATTAAACCCCTTCTTAAAGGCTTGTAGTCAGTTTAGTGGTACTGTATTTTGCATTTTGAAAAAAAAAATGTCATCCCACATCGATTGCGTTGTTGTAGGAGACAGTGGAACACAACAGATAAAATGAAAAGTAAAAGTAAATGTTAAATGTACATACTTGGACGGGGTCAACGAGTGATCAAGTAGGCTCATGACCTAGGTCAACGACTTTCATTGCACATTCGAAGGTGCGTTTGCCTAACATCTCCTGAGCGGAGCATGTACGTCAAAATTTGTGGTAGAGGGCACTGTGCTCGCGCAGTCCCTGTTAAATCATTTAAAATCTTTAATGTTAAGATTATTGCGGTAAGTAAATAATTTCCAATTCTTAAATTATTGTTCTATTCGAGATCAGGTAGATAAAATTTAAATTAAAGAGAATAAAATGATAAAATTAATTTTAATTTATAAACTTAAACTTTTTTTAATTTAAGAAAGATTGTTGTTATTTGTGTTTTGTTTTTATTTTTAATTTTGGCATGTTAGATTATACCAAATATAAGAGTGAATTTAAAAGCTTATTTTTTTATAAGTGTAATTTATTGTGGATTTATTAAATTCTCAATCAATAAAAGCAAAATCACTTATTTTATGTATTACTTCGTAGAAACTGACTTCATGCTTGAAATCTGATATTGTTAGAGCAACAATAACGCTGATATCGTATTCTTATCTCATTGTAAATAACAATAATAATAAAAAAAAACCCAGAAGAATAGCTCACTTTTTTTTAATTATTTACACAAGGAATGGTTCTTACACATGAATTTACATTTTATGAAATCAATGGGCGGGTTTGGGTCAAAATAGAACAAATCGGTCGTCACTTATGTAGTAAAAGTTAGGTCTGATTTTGCACAAATGTTAGGCTTGGTTTGGGTGGATTCAGATAAAACGGCTCAACTCAGGTTAGGTGCATTTTTTAAGCCAAATGAAAATTTTAGGCTACAACTAAATAATGGTAATATTCTCAATATGTTTAAATACTGTCTAAGTTATTTTGACTTTTTTATTAAAATTTTATGTTGAAAAAAGTGTGAAACTAATATTTAAAATTAAATTTATAAAATTGTTATGCAAACAGATATACCGTGAGTAATTTTTTTGTTCTAATGTTTGTAACTTGTCTAAATTTCTAATGCATACAATCTATCCAAAGTGTCAATAATCACATATTCAATTTATCTAAATTTTTAACTTATTTGGTTATTAACCATTATATAATATATATATATATATATATATATATATGTATATAACACAAAAAATTAAAACAAACAGAACAATAAATAGATAATATAAAAATCACTAACTCAAATGAGAAATGATGTTTATGTTCTATTTGACACATTGAGATCTAAAATAAATTCAATTATTTCATAATTTTTAATCTTGTATGTAAAGAATATCAATACATGTTACCATAAATTAATTTTTAATGGATATGAATAAAAAGAAAAAGAAAATAAATCACCTATAAAAGATACTAGTAAATTGAAATTAACAAGACATGAGTTAGGTGTTAGATGACTACTAGTTTGTCATAAAACAAAAATGAATAATGAGTCAATTGTTAAAAAAAAACTTAAGCCATAAAAATTAAAATGTAATAAAATAGATAGATTAGTTAAAACCTAACCAAAAAGGGAAGTGAATTATGTGCTAAAAAAAAAAAAAAGTCATTTCATATCAACACTTCCAGTATGCTATGGTTATGATGTAGTTGTTGGTGCAACTATAGAGATATAGTTATTGCTCTAGATACAAATACTAGTCCTTCCCCTCCCTCTAAATTGCTTTTATATTGATTTTCTCCCTCTTATTTTTTGGTAAGATTTAGAAAAATAAAAAAGATAAATATGTGATGCAATTAGTATTTTAACAAAAAGTAGGAATAAGGCAAATACATTAAATAAAAAGAGAGTAAAAATGATATATGTAACATCCTAATTTTTACTCCTTCTATGTTCATGTGTGTTAGTACGATTTTATCTGTTTCAAAAGTAATGAATGTATTTTACAAAATTTCAAGATTTTGGTTAAAGAAGTTTTGAGATAAAAATATTTATTTCGTTAAAATAATTCGTCTTTAAATGCATGTTTGATATATTTTTGAAAGATGAAATTTTCTAATACTTTGAAATATATACAATTCCTTAAGTATAATTGATTTCCAAATTTCTTACACCAACAAAGGTGGTGTAGTGGTGTATAGGTTAGTCTTACCCTAGACTTGGAGGACCTAGGTTCAAAACTTAGAAAATTTTATTTTTCAGATTTTTAAATATGTGAAATGACCATAATGCCTTGCATGCAAAACATAGGTGGCAATTCCACCTTCTTGCTTATGGACATGCATAATGTAGGTGGCAAAACCAAGTTATGCATTCTTTTCCCTTTCTGTAAGCTATCTCTCTCACACTCTTCGTTTTTCTCATCCCTGCCACCTTTCCTCTTCATTTTTCAACAACTTTGGGCTGGAAACCACCACCCTTCTACATCCAAAAACCTTGAACACTTTCCCTTCATGTTTGGAGCTTTCTGCATCTAGCCACTGTGTATGTCAATTTTGACCATCTGAATGTATTTTTTTTAGCCTAACCTCTGCATATTTAGATTGTGCAGTGAAATGTTTTTTCAAATGCAATTGGTTTTACTCAAAACGGACATCAAAATCACAAGTTATAGTGAAAATTGTGAGATATGTCCTTGTTCTATGTTTTTAGTGCTTCAGCAGCAAAGGAAACTATTTCTCTCATTTTTGTTCTCTTCAAACCTAACATGTAATGCCCCTATGTATTCATTGCATAATTACCTTTCCAACAGTATATCTTGAGCTCAAATCCAACATCGTTTGCTCTCAATCGTGTAGAATATGTGAACACCTTCATTTTTATGTTTTTTGCAAAAATAGTATAAATAAATAAATTTTACACCCTCTATACAGAGTTGTTTCAACCCAAAAAGTTGATTTTCATAAAATACATGAAAATAGCTTTCTAATGCATATTTTTACGTTAATTTTGGACTTAGTTTGAATACCTTATGAAATGAATTACAAAAATGGTGAAAAGTTGAAAAACCTGCATGAATAGCAATGAAGTTTGATTTTTCTACACTTTTCTATGCATGAAAACTTAATTTTTGAAAGTAGTTTTTGACCCTTAGGATCTTAGCTTTCTAAAAAAATTTATGGATCGTGATTTGGACTTTGTTTAAATCCATTACACTTAATTTTACAAACATTGTGCAAATTTGAAGTTTTCTTGTTTTCTGCAATAAGTGCATGACCATTTCTGAATTTTTAAAAATACTAGCTCTTGGCCATTTTGGCTCAAAGGATTCTGATAGACTTCTCTCTGAATGAGAAATGCAACGAACTAAGAAACTGCAAATTTTGACACCGGGAAGTCCAAGAAAAAGAACTTGCGGACTATCTCACTCACCAAGGTAAGGGGGAGGAGGTATTTCTAGTAAACAATAAGAAAGGAAATAAATCAAAGAGGGTTGGTCTCTTAACTCTGAGGTCTAGAACACATGTATTAGGAGATATGTGGTGTTTGAATTATGTGTTGACATTTTTGAATATTTACTTGAGACTTTTAATGTTTTAAAATATAATTATGAGTATATTTTGATTTTGACGAATCTCGATCTTTGGTTGAGAATTATTTTACACTTAATGTTTGAGTAAATATTATTTTGTGAAAATTATGAATTATTTTAAGTGAACAATTTACTCAAAGCTTGTCAAAAATAAAAAATCAATGAAACAAAATGCTTTATTGAAATGCCCAATATGAGTATGTATACCTGGTGTATTTGAACAAGTTATCTTGTGTGTTGTACTCTTTAAAAATATATGGTTTGGTGCATATGTTGATTGTGTAAAGCACCAAAAGTATGCATATAGGCATATGCAGGCTGAGTGAACACCATTTGTGAACTTAAGTCCTTTGAGAGTGGGAAATGCGTGATGATACGCTAAGATAAAATTGGTATGTAAGTATATGCGCACTAAAGAGTTTGGCCATGGTTTCAGCTTCGACCTTGAGTTCAGTAATTAAATTTAATGACTAAAAGTAAACCTTTGTGAAAACTTTGTTTTCTTTCTTTTTGAAAGTAAATGGGTAGTGTAACTCTAGCCGGGTAATGATTGGAACTCAAGGAAAGAGATGAAGCTAGTGAGCTCGGAACACTTAGAGAAAGTGCGTTGAGGCACGAGTATAAGTACTTGCCAATTCTCTATATATATGGTTCTGAATAGTTGATTAACGTGAAATCTTAAATTTGGCCAGTGCCTATGTGCGTGATTAAGGGAGTGAAACTTCAAAAGTGTGCATGACTATTTAGAAGGAAAATGTGTGTGAATTCTCACTCCCTTGTGAAGGAAGTCATGAGGTTATTTTATAATTATTGTTAGTGAAAGATAGGGAGGACCTTAACGTCTAGGAGATTTAATGGAATTGGGTGACTTACCAATAACTCTATGGGTGTCCTAGGCCTCGAAACTCTGACTGGGATTCTCTATGCAATGCTCCTTTATCTTGACTTTCTCCTGAGGCTTATCTTGTTGGTCGAGCTAGATCAATCGGTAGAGGTTCGAGTCCCCACCATACATGCGAAATGTAGGCTGGCTAGTAAAACTTTCAACAACTTCTGAACAATAGGATTGTTATGGATCCAGAGTCGCATAAGCATCAAAATGAGATTTTGCCAAACCAAGAGTTATCATTTGCATTAATCATGCATCATGTAATTAGACTTGTATTTTGTTAGATTGTAAAAGTTACAATGGTATTAATGTGATATATGCTCGTACTTACTTTGTTTTGTTTCTTTTCTGAAGGATACTTACTTGAAAATATATCTCACTCCTTCTTTTCTTTGTTGAATTATGTTGTGGTGTTGGACTTTTTTTTAGTATTCACAGATCTTGAGGATGACCTCTCTTCATCTTATTCCCCACATTGAGCTCAATTTGAGAAGAATCCTTTAGATACTGAGGCAATAGAGAAGAACCCTTCCAAGGAGTCATGACTGCTAAACAGTCATTCTTTTTGTTGTTCGCTGCTAGAAGACTCCACTTGTTGTATAGTGGATAATTCAATACTTTATATTTTATTTTGGTAGCTTAGGTGTAATGTACTTTGTCTTGGTACTCTAATAGTCGTGGATTGTGTTTTAAGATTCTTGGATAATTTGTGATTACTTTGGATAATTACAGGATTATTTATATGACCAATTTATATTATCAGTTATCTTTTGT